GAAAGCTGAGTGCTTTTGAGGCAGGAAGATCTCTGGCGGAGTGGGTTGCCTTCAACATTAATCGGCAGAAGTGGAGAGACCAAGGAAACAGGAAGCATAACTGCCTCAGCATCAAGGGTAGGACCATGGCCTTTGGGGATGAAACCACCACAGCCCCCTAGGTTTCAAAGAGCCAGACCTTCATCAACTTGGTTCTGGAGTGTGGGACTGCTTGTTCATATAAGCTAGAGTGATGGAGTCAAGTCGCTGCCCAAGAGTGAGGGGGCAGGGCTGCCATGCCCAAGAGGGAGAGGAGTGGGGCCCGCCAGGCCAAAAGGGTGAGATTGCCATTGAGGAACTAGGGGACTGGAGTCATCTTCAGTGGGTACATATACCACCCACTGAAGATCTGTACAGGTGCAAGATCTGTACAAGTTTACAAGGATTGGAATTGTGGTGGTTAAGTTTGTGTGTCAACTTCGCTGGGCCTGGTTGAGAGGCTGAGCAGCTAGTTGGATATAGTATTCCCCATGATGACAGTGGTCATCAACTCCATGGTGGATCTACTGTGAGCAACTGAGTAGCTGCCTTTGGGTATGTGGTCTTCTTCCTGTATATAAGAAACAGCTTTGGGAATGGTCTCTAGCATATGGCATGCTTGGATCCTGCATGTAGCTGCATCATTGTTCAGCAAGCAGCCTGCCATGCTCTGCCAACCTTGGGACTTTCAATGGACTTGAATAAATGGCTGTGTGGTTTGGTAACATCAGGACTGTGCCATTTTATTTGTTGAGCCTGGGCTTGTTAGCCTCAGCAGCCAGTAGCTGTCTCAGTAAAGAGATGCCTCTAGTTTCAGTGGCCGGGAGCAAGAGGCAGAGCTGAAGTCCAAGGTTGAGGGGCTTTCACATGGCCCCTAGAGTCTGGCACTTTGAACTTGGACTTCTAGCCTCCCAAACTGTAAGAGAATAAACTCCTATTTTTTCCATCTCACTTGTGTTGTATTTTAGTCAGAGTGGCACTAGGTAACCAGAACAGGGCCCTTTGAAGCTCCATATACATTTGAAGATTGACTTTTCAAATTCTGCAAGGAAGGCTGTTGGAATTTTGATGGATATTGCATTGAATCTATAGGTTACTTTAGGTAGTATTGACATCTTGACAATATCAAGTATTCTGATCCATGAACACATAATGTCCTTCCATTTATTTAGATCATCTTTAATTTCTTTCAGTAATGTTTCTATTTTTCACCGTACAAGTCTTTCATCCCTCTGATTACATTTATTCTTAGGTGTTTAATTTTTTGAGATGCTATCAAATGGAATTATTTCATTTTCAGATTGCTCACTGTTGGTGTATAGAAATCCTGCTGATTTTTGTGGGTTGGCTTTGTGTTCTGCCACTTTGCTGGATTCATTTTTTAGCTCTAATAACTTTCTTGTGGATTATTTGGGATCTTCTGTATTTAGGATCAAGTCATCTGTGAAAGATAGTTTTACTTTTTCCTTCCCAAGTTGGATGTCTTTATTTTTCTTGTCTAATTGTTCTGGCTAGAACTTCCAGTGCAGTATCGAATATCAGTGGTTGAAGCAGGCATCCTTGCTTGTTCTGATCTTAAGGGGAATGCTCTCTATCTTTGTCCATTGAGTATGATGTTAGTTGTGGGCTTTTTATAAATGCCCTTTGTAAAGTTGAGGAATTTCCCTTCCATTCCTATCTTTTTGAGTGCTTTTATCATGAAAGAGTGTTGGATTTTGTCAAAAGCCTTGTCTTCATTAATTCCTCAGGGACTCCTTTGCTATTGACTTCTTGATTTCCTGTGCATAGGCATACTTTCTTGTTTCTTTGTGTGTCTCATTTTTTGTTGTTGAACAGTGTGTTTTAACTAATTTGATGTGGCAACTCTAGAAATAAGATTGTCCCTCTTCAGGATTTGTTGTGTTTGCTGCTGCTACTTCTGTTATTTGTTTAGTGACTTTTCCTGGACTAATTCTGTAGTCTGTACTCTTTGTTGTGTTTGGCCTCTGGAATCACTGCTCAGTTATCTTGTGGTCAGCTAATGACTGGACAGGTACTTACTTAAATACCTTGAACCAATCATTCTCCCTGACTTTGATGTAGGGCTATGTATGTGTTTTGGGGCACACCTTCACCACTCTGGCAGTTTACAACTCTGCCTTAGCCTTCACTTTCTGCTTGTGCAGAGTCTCAAAGTCAGCCAGGTGTGAAGTATAGGGACCTTTATAGGTCGCTCCTAGGTATGTACACAGCTCTGCACATGAGTGTGGCATTTTAGAGTCCCAGGAATATTTTAGAGCTTTTTAAAGTGGCTGATAGAGATCTCATTCTGAATATTTTTCCTTTAAGTTTTTGGTCAGCTTCTTGTTTGCCTCACTAGTATAGTAGCTTCAGGCAGCTGTGAGGTTAAACAATTGCCATTGAGTGTTTTCAGCAAACTCCTTGGGTATGTGGGGCTATTTGCACCTGAATGAGCTGAGCCAGATCAAATGCAGAAGATTAACTTTGTGAATGGGGCTTTTCCAGGGAGCTTCCAGACAGGTCAAGTAGTGAAGATTCTCTGGGGATAAGGCTTTTGATATACTCTAATCCTGATCTCTGGTAGCATAGTGGCTAAGACACTTGCCTGCTAACCAGACGTCTGGCGGTTCAAACCCACCAGCCACTCCTCGGAAGGAAGGTTGGGCAATCCTACTTCCATAGTGATACTGCCTCGGAAACCCAAGGAGGGGTCGCTATGAGTCGGGGCCGACTCGATGGCACATAACAACAACAATCCTGATCTACCTCTTCAGTGGCTTCTAGAATTGCAAGGTTCCTGGGCTACTAGGCTGATGGTTTTCATAGCTCCTGTGGTTATGAGGCTGTTTTGCAAGACTACCATTGAACTGGGGAGAGGGGTGTGGGGATAGTCAAGTTAAAGTGCCACAGAGCTCACTTTTTTTTACTGAGCCATTTTTCTTAAATAAATACTCCTTGGATTGTTGTGAGCCTTTGGATAATTTCTGCAAACGTTGATTTTGACAGTTTCAATGGAGTAGTGGATTTTCAGTTTTGTATCCCACCATTCTTCTTCCTTTATTTTTAATCAGAGTATTTTTCTTTAGGACATATGAGACTAGAAACAAATGAAAATATCTAGTGCCCACTGGAGAGGGGGCACTACATTGAGTTGCAGTTGTGGGATTCTGGAGAAAGAAATTGGAGAAAAAAATCTTGCCTGTTTACATTCCTTAATCTAATTTTTAAAATTATAGTAGTGTAATAAATAAATAGCCATGGGAATATATATAGGGAATGTATATATTTTACATAGAATTGTTTGAAGTTTTGCCAACTAGTTTTCTATCTCATAGCAGGTAGTGGGGGGAGTGCATATTAGAGGCAGGTGCACTAGGACAACTGTTAGTGAGAAGGAAGATTTAAGAATAAAAAGTAGACAATCAGAGGATGCCATCTTGTAGCAGCTTCAGTACTCCTGTTCCATAGGCTATATCTAAGTCATGATGGGAATGCTAATTTGTGCTCTACATGCTTTGCTTCTAAAGTCAGAGAATGCCTAATATATTTTAGGAAGTTTTCCATCAAAAATCAATAAAATGCTTAAGGTTTGATACTTAAAGTTATAGATTGCATTTACCTAGATCATTTATTGCCAAAGAATATCATATATTTGAATGATGTTGCTAATTCTGTTGAGGAGAAAGGTTCTGTAATCATCCATCTAAATTCATCATGGTAGTTCCACTGTCTTACAAACTGGACACATCAACAGTGTGCTGTTGTCTCAATGTGTAGATTCATAGAGAAAAATTATTTAATCTCTCAAAAAAGGAAAGTTGAACCAAAGGGTAGTAATACTGTTTTATTTACTACCTTACATCCTTTAAGTCTGTAACCACCAGCAGCACCCTCTACCTATATAGCAAAAGATTAATTGATTTGTTTCTAAAGATATTGTGAAATTAGTATTTGTATAAGTTGCTGAGGACTTGACTGACTACTGCACAGGAAGTTCTAACCAAAACCTGTATATTTTTAGGTTGCATCATGATGATAGTTCATTCAACATGCAGACACATAATGAAATGTAGAGAGAACTGCAGGGCAGTATTTTGGCAGAAGTATTACAGCAGCAATCTCATTGTGAACAGTTAGAGGTGATTCTCTGAGATGCCATCTATCAAAAAGCCATTCACAATGTGGGTTCCATTAGCTGACATTATCATAGCTTGTTTGGTGTAAACATTTGAGATCAGGGAGCCACTTATAACAAAAAAGAAAGTAAAGCTGAACTTGTTTGCTGTTCCCTGCAATGTAGATAAAAGACACAATTTTGAAAGTCTGCATCATATCATGCATATTGTCAAAAGCCTTTATTATAGGTAGTGGTCTACAAAAGCTGGGACAATCCAGGGTTCTTAAGGCCACCATCAAATAAAAAGCTGCTCCACAGGGCTGAGGAGCACATATGGACTGGCATCATCCACCAAGAATTTATTCCAGGAAAGGCAAAGAGGGGAATTCTAAGAGAATTTTCAGCTCATGCTGGTTATTAAGTGGGGAATTACATTACAGAGTACATAATGACAAACAGTGTGTACTTGGTGTGCTAGGAGGTAGCTCCTGTTGTGAATATGCATGTGAGAGTCCAGGTGTCAGATTTGCAGTTTGCCAAAGTATAGGTGGTGATGCTTACCTAGGACCTTTTTCCACCGCATATTCTTAATTCAAGCCTAGAACGTTAAAGATAAAGAAAATATTTCAAATGGCTAAACTCCATTTGAGTTACAGGCCCCTTCTTAGAGAAAAGGATAGATGTGCTGGTATCCCTAGGTAGGAAAGCAAATTCTAGCTACATACTGATACATACAGATATTTCTATAGATTTTTATAAATGTCTTTATAGTAGTATTTAAGAAGATTGTTATTAGAATAGAAGCCATTTAATACAAACACAATACCTATTTGGATACTAAAAGTGTGCCATTTTTCTATTACAGTGTTCTGGCAGGTTACAACGGGACTATCTTTGCATATGGACAAACAGGCAGTGGTAAGACGTTCACCATCACAGGTGGGGCAGAGCGTTACAGCGACAGAGGCATTATCCCAAGGACACTATCTTACATTTTTGAACAGTTGCAAAAGGTATGAAACTTTCAGTTCATTTTACATTCAATATATTCAGCAGAAATTCACTGTGGGCAGAAAATTTATTGTGACATTTTATTATCTTGTATCTAAAAGAAGAAGTATTATTATGTAATAAGTCTGATCTTTATGTTTAAAGAGAGTTTGGGATTTTGCTGAAGAAGTGGAAATTATGATGGTGCTTCTCATTAAGGGCTGCTGTTTCAGCAAAGGTTCAAGGAAACTTCTTCTGATGCTCCCATGGAGGGTAAAAGAGCAATAATACCTTTCACCAATAGTATTTTACATTCTTCGTTAAGAAACTGAGGAATATCCTTCTTTTAGCTACTAAAGCACTGAATAGGATAGTATGACTGTTCTCTTTTCATACTTTTAACAAGCGTCCAGAAGAAAAAAAAAAAAAAGCCCACTGCCATTGAGTAGATTCTGATTCATAGCAACCCCATAGGACAGAGTAGGACTGCCCTGTAGGCTTTCCAAGGCTGTAAACCTTCACGGAAGCAGACTGTCTCATCTTTCCCTCATGGAGCAGCTGGTGGCTTTGAACTACTGACCTTTTGATTAGCCACTGATTGCTTTAACCCTATGCCACAGAACTCCTACAGAGGAATTCACCAAAAACCAAACTCACTGCCTACAAGTCGGTTTCAACTCATACCAATCCCCTTTGAGTTTCTGAGGTGGTAAGTCTTTATAGAAGTAGATTGCCCAGTAGCAGAATAAAAGTCCTATGGTAATTAATATTATTATAAAGAGGAGTTCCATAGCTATATTACATGCATTACTTACCAAGTACCTCCAAGTATCTGTTGCTTTATCAGCATTTAATAAACACTTAATATAGCTAATGAGGCAATATACTTATCTCCATATTGTAGATGGGAAAATTGAGTCTCTTAAAAGACCTGATGTGGAGTACCATCCCAGGTCTGTCTAATGTCAAAGCCTGTGCTTTTTACCACTGCTTACATGGGCTCTGTATCTCAGACTGGCTTGATTTTGTTGGTTGTATTTAAACAAATTCTCTACAATGAATCACTTAAATTCTCTGGATTTCCGTTTTTCCCTCTGTAAAAGCAGGAATTGAATTTCACTAGAGGATCTCCAGCCTCCCTACTAGTTCCAGAACTCCTTGGTTGTTTTATTCCTGTATAACAAATACCCTAACTAGGTCAGTGTAACAGTCACTCCAGAATTTCTCAACTGTGTGCTGTCGAGTTGGAAAAGATGAGAAGAAATTGCTGAGATCTGCATACCTCTAATTTTCATCCATAAAGTAGTAATTAGCCATTAGTTCAGCTCATCTCTCCCTGGCTCAAATATGCCAACCCTGCATGCCAGAAAATTTGTAAAAGAAATAGTAGAGTATATGTAGTGTGTATGTTGGCTCCAAAGCCCTTCTTTCATTTATTTCAGAAATTATCTCTTTTATTTTATTCCCAGATCCCACAAACAAGGAATATAAGTTTTAATAGTTTTTGCTGTTGGGGGCTAGTGTGAAAGTCTGTTGTCTTGGAAAGATCACTGCAGTTGGTACAAGCAGACCTAAACATGTAGTGTTGGGGCAGTTAGTTAATGTCTCAGTCTTGGGGAGTTGCTGCGAGGGCCAGACATACTATATTTAAAGATATTGTCTACTTCCTGGCATACAGTAGCGGCTCAGTCCATGGTAGTTATTACTACAGCCATTAATACCCATATATCTGCATGTGTCCAAATGATCATTGACCAGCTTCAGAGAATCCTTGGAACCTCGCAGAGCAAAGGAAGCCAGTTCCCCTGATTAAGTTTCACTGAACAAACCAGTCCTTTCCCAATGGAGAGTATTTTACTTGTCCCTTTTTAAACTTCATCTACAGTCAGTGAAGTACAGTTGTAAATGTCTAAATGTCTCCCAAGTACCTACCATCTGCTAGGTTCATTGTCTTAGATCGGTTTGGCATTGGCATTATCCTAAACCCCATTTCATTCTGAATGGTGCTAAGTAACTTCCTGGACTTGGAGAGAGCTCAGACCAGTTTATAGCCAGGGCAGCTTTTTATAAATGGACATGTTTCCACAACAGAGCACAACATATTCATTGTCATCAAACTGAACTGTGATTTAATAAGTTAGGAGTAACATGAAGTGCATCAGAAAGTCTGTCCACATTGTATGGCTGAAAAATGCAGACTGGTACTCAGAAGCCCCCAGTTGATTGTCTTAGAAGGACTCATGGAATGCTCTAGAATTCTTAAGGGAACATTTGGCTTATGCCAAGTGTTTACTTCAAGATAAACTCAGAGCCTAGTGCATACTGGTCCTGAAATGCATACAAGTCTGATAGGAGCACATTTTCAATGATTTTAAGAGAGGAAAATTGATTCCATTTATTTTAGAAATCACTGCTCATTACTTTTGAGAATTGTGAGGTTCATACTTGTTTTGGGGCAGAAGAAAAGCCTGTCTGCAGGAAACATATGTGTTACATTACAGTCTGGCAGTCTTAAACACTAAAAAGTAATAGGAAGGAAAGGTAGCTTGCCACATAGCTCAGTGAATTTTAAGTGTGTATTCCAATAAAAGTCTAGAAAATGCTGAAGCTGGGAGAGCCAAAGGTATTATTACCATCATCTCATAGCAGTGACCTGCCATTTTCCTGAGTTTTTATGATTTCTCCATTGCAGACTCAAATACAAGTTGGCCCTTCTTTCTGCCTTTCTTTTACTTTTATGTTCATAAACTCAATTCTCCATTTGGAGGCTTTTAGAAATAAGAAGGAAAACAATAATAGTAGCAATAATAATAGCATCACCAACCATTTATTGCTGCCTATTATAATAGACAACACATTTTTTTTAGGATTTTAAATAACCAGTTACAGAGTCAAATCTGACTCATGGTGACCCTATGAGTGTTACAGTAGAACTGTGCTCCATCCATAGGGTTTTCAGTGATTGAGTTTTGGGAAATAGATCTCCAGGCCTTTCTTCTGAGGCACCTCTGGGTGGACTAGACCCTCCAGTCTTTTGGTTAGCAGCTGACCACGTTAACATTTGCACCCCATCCCCCAGGAACTCACAGAATCTGATTACTCTGTCAGTGCTGCAAGTTAAGGGTTATTACCTCCATTTTTGTGGTGAAACAATTGAGGATAAGGGTATAACCACACTCGGTTATAAATGGCAGATCCAGTGTTCAAACTTCTTTTTCTGTCTGATGCTAAGACCAGCTCAGAAATGTGTGCTAACATTTCAAACTGTAATCTGTGGGCTATTTCTCTGTGTTTAGATAAGTTTTAGAAATATCTTACATTAAACAGGAAATCATCATGTTGCTAAAGGATGCCCTTGGGCCTTTAATGTGCTCTGAGAATGTCCGGGACAGGGATATATTGTATATGCTGACCATGGAAACCTTTTGTTTATTTTTTTTTCCAGGGGCATTTCATGGGATGTCTTTGGAAACACTAGAGTAAACTAACGGACACAGAAAGTCTCTGTAGTGTTTATAGTCTCAAATGCTTGTGCTAAGCCAAGTTATAACTCAAAAGTTTTGTTGTGCTTTCCCTAAAGTAGGATACTAATATAAATCATAGACCATTTCTCAGGAGAAGCAGTCATTGTCCACCCCCATCAGGAAGATTTCCAGCATTTAATGGATAGAAATTTGTTCAGTAGAGCTTCAGTCCATGTTGTCATCTTCACAGAATGTCAAAACCTGGAATTTCAGCTGTAGCTTGAGTGTTTTATTATAGTCATGTGCTGCCTGAGTCACCTTAATTTTTCATGTATTTTGTTTCATTTTGTGCAATGATAGCATATTTGGGTAGTTTTGACCCCTCCTTGGGTTTCTGAGGTGGTATCTCTACAGAAATAGATTGCCCAGTCTTCCTTCTGATTAGTGGCTGGTGGGTTTGAACCGCCAACCTTCTGGTTAGCAGTCAAAATGCCTTAAGCACTGCACCACCAGAGCTCCCTGTTAAAACCAGCATACCATATTAATTTATTATTAATTCTAATGTTATTAATATTAGCTAATACTGATTGTATTCATTTGAAGCTGAGGAACATTTAGGGATTCATTATCCAACTTTCTCACTTTATGGACATAAAAACTGAGGCTTGGCATGGTAAGGGCTCCCAGCTAGTTGGACTTGGGGTCTAGCTTTTTATTTACGGGCCACTGTTCTAACTTGGTCCTCTCTCCCTTTGAACAGCACCTGTTCAGTTGGTTCCTTTGGATCAGAGTAAGAATCAATCAGGAAGGTCATCCTAAGCAAATCCTCTGTGTTAGCAGCCACTATGACAACCTGACAGCCTTCTTGCCATAGACACAAACGCATTGTCCTCTGGCAAGGAGCAAAATTATATTTGCAGAGATAGGAACGTGTATTTGGGAGAAATAAGAAGGTGCTGGTTTTTGATATTTTATACTAAAAGCTGAACTTCTCTCAAGAGCAAAAAAGGTTCCAGGTTTATTCTTTCTGCGAGGAAGTGGTTCCCTTTTGTATATTGGCAGAATTAAGACTAGGACTAGTCTCCTTGATTATTAGCCCCATTACATTGATGCCTATGTCACTGAATTTCAAGAGTAGCCCATAGAAAACACCTCTCTCTAACCAATATCTAACCAATAGCCAGATATCCCTGATTTGCTCGTGTGGGCCAGAAAAATTAACCCATCAGGCAGTGGACCATTAACATCTACTCTCTGGTAGCATAGTGCCTAAAGCACTTGACTGCTAACCAGAAGACTGGCGGTTCAAACCCAGCAGCCACTCCTCGGAAGGAAGGTTGGGCAATCTACTTCCGTAGTGATACTGCCTTGGAAACTCAAGGAGGGGTCACTATGAGTCGGGTCCAACGAGACGGCACATAACAACAACAACTTCCTCATACCTATCTGATCTAAACTATTTTCTGTACTCTGGAACTCACCTTCATTGTTATCTATTTATGTCACTAAAAAATTCTGAATGTTAGAAAAGTAAAACAAGAATTTGGATTAAAGATGGAAACTTTTGTTACTGGAGTTTCTAGACTAGAGTGATAATCTGTGTTCCTTTATGAATAGACTCTTCACAGAATGTAAGCTTCTTTCTTTTTAGTAACCCCCTTTTTTAATCTGGAAAGTAAAAACAATGTACTGTACAGTTCTGTAACCAAGTTGGCTCATTGCATAGTGACTTTTTATGTATAATGTGGAATCAATAAAAAGTAACAGACTGAAGTTGCTTGTAATCATGGGTGTTGGCCATTTAAAAAAAAAATAGCTTTGTGCATATGGTAACTTGCAACTTGAAAGTGTCACGAACTGAAAATGTAAACCATACAAAGTCATAACGAAAAGGAAAAAAAAAAAAAACAGTGAGGAAGCTACAGTGATAATTGTTCATCTTCTTCTAAACGGAATTGTTATTTATAGCCATTATATAATGCCTTTCTCTTTTCCAATCAGGACAGCAGCAAAATATATACAATACACATTTCCTATTTGGAAATCTACAATGAATGTGGTTATGATCTATTGGATCCAAGACATGAAGCCTCCAGTTTGGAAGATTTGCCGTGAGTAGTAGAACAACAAAGAATGGGGGAAAATTGTTTTCAGATGTTCACTTCAGTTGTTTTCTTTGAAACTTTGTTTCTGGTCAGTCGTAGTTAGCAAATATTGGATAACAGGATCTTTGTGTATTTTTTTTTCTAGTTATGACAAATGGACAGTAGTGATTGCCTGAAACTCATTTCTTGGGAAACTCTCTTTTGGAGTTGGTACAAGAGAGTATAGTGGGTACTGAGGGGGTTGATGGGCTATGATAGTGCCACATAAAACCCTTTTCCTCCTCTAAAGTGTGGCCTTTCTCTGAAGAAGGTATTCGAATGAGAGCAATTAGGGAATCTAAAAGAGAGAAGAAAGTAAAACCTTAAGTTCTCCCTCAAATGCTTCTCTACTATTATTAACATTGACATTGACAATCATCTGGTCAGATTGGCACTGATTGTTTCATGACTGAAAAATAAATAATAAAGTCTTCAGAACTTACCTATCAATGGGGTAAGCTACCCTGACTATGTTTAGGTAATATTCTTCTCTGCTTGTTTGACTGTCTGCCTAAACTAGGCATATATTAGTTGATGACAGTTCATATACTTTTTTCCAGATATCTTCATATATCTGAAGTTGCCCAGAGCAAGAAATCCTATTTCAATATTCTTCTTCTTAAACATTCTAAAATAATTTTAAAATACAGATTAACCCTCTACCCACCCCCCAAAAAAAAAAAAAAATCAATAATCAGTGGCTTATTTTGGTTTGCAAAATAAATAAGGAATAATAAAGAAAATAAGATACAATTTAACCACCTTTGTATGTGTTCTTTCATTAATGTTCGTTGAGAGTTTTTACATATTATGTCTTTTAAGTTTACCGTATTCATAAGATGGAGTCAAGAAAGAGGATTATTGTTTATACTCTAATTATTTGTATAGGAATTGAAAGATGGGAAAGAATACTGACTCCATGGAAGAGATTGGCCTTAATGAAACTATTATAATTGAGTTTAACAAAAAGTAACACTTTATATATAAGAGGATATAACAGAAATATTAAGGACACAAAGGTCTGGAAGGAAAAGGCATGTGTTAAGGAGGCATGGAAAGCAAAAGCAGTAAGGCCAGCTGAAACCAGCGTTTGAACAACAGGCTTTTAGTTTGTGATCATTCTTTATTCTAAAACAAAAAAAAATACAAACCAGTTTCCTTATAGTTGATTTTCACTCCTGGCCCTGATGTGTATCAGAGTAGAACTGTGCGCCATGGGGTTGTCAGAAGTAGATTGCTAGGCCTTGCTTCCTACGTACTCTGGGTGGACACAAACCTCCAACCTTGGGATTTGGAACTGAGCACTTAACTGCACCACCCTGGGTCTTGTTTATTACGAAAGTCTTCTTAATTTGTTTTCTAGCTGACTCTCTGCTTGTTTGAGTATCTGCTCACTCGTACTTAAAATTGCTTTCAACAAGTCACATCTGCACTAAAGAGCCTGAAGGCTATTAACAGTAATCCAGAGATTCAGCTCAGCTATGATGAATATGGAGAAGGAGAAAGAAATCCAGGAGATATGCAAAAAAATAAAAGAAATAAAATAAATTGATTATACTTAGTGCCTGATTAGATTTGAAAAGGAAGGTGAATCATGAAGATCAGCACTCTACTAATTTTACCTATTGAAGATATTAAGCCTGGAGAAGTAGGATTTACCCAGAGTTTCAAAACTAGTTGATTAATGGTACAGCAAGGATTAAAAACCAAATACTCTCACTTATCAGCCAGAATAGTAAAAATATGTTCAATATTTTTACACTGGGGCTTTGAATATTAAAGACTGCTAAAAGGACAAGGAGGCCACTGTTCTGACGTACTCTAATCCCACAAGAGGAAGACAGAATCACCATCAATAGCCCAAGGCCTATTCCTGAGGGGCCAGACATGCTGCCTCCCTCCAGCCCTTTTACCAACTGTTCCTCCCAAAGCACCCACCAACTCTCTCCTGGGTTTGGTAATTCGCTGCAGTGGCCACACAGAACTCAGATTGTGGGGCTTATTAGGGAAGCACCAGGCTACAATTCAAGTTCAGGAAAAAAACGCTCAGTCTCTCTCCCAGCCCACCGTCTCTCAGCCAAATCTGTCACAGTCTCTCCCCCAGCAGTGCATGTCCCTCGGTGTCTTACTCAGCAATGAATGTCTCTTGAGTCTCTTTCCCAGCAGCACGTGTCTCTTTCAGGAGCGTGTGTCTATTTCAGCAGCACGTCTTCCTCAGCCAGCAGTCAGAGAGTGTTCTGCCTCTAGGAAGCCTCCTTTTGAGCCTGGCAGGGTGGTCAAACTAGCCAATCATAGCATCAGAACTCTAAGCACCTGAGAGAGAGTGGGACCCTCTCAGAACATTGTTTTGTGCCACTCCCAACAGAAATACTCCAGGTGGACAACTCTAGCAATCAGGAGCTCCTCAGTTGCTCATAGCAAATCCCACCTTGGAGTTTACAAAGACTTATGGGTAGAAAAGCCACACTAAGTAATTTACTACACCGCATAAACCTAAAGAGATTTCCATTAGAAAACTTGGTTGGGTGGTGATGATGAATTTCACATATATAACTTTGGCATCTGAGAATAATATAGTAAACTAAATTCCTCAGAGATAGGTCTTTCTATTGCCTATGCTACAGTAAGTACTTGATTTACTTTTTAAATTATCTGTTTAATTGAAACTATGTAGTAGGTTTTTTGAAGGACAAAAGAGTGTAGAGGGAGAATAACAGGATATTCTGGTTACCTAGTACCACTCTGACAAGAATATACCACAAACGGAATGGCCTTAACAAACAGGAGTTTTTTCTCTTACAGTTTGGGAGGGTAGAAGTCCAAGTTCAAAGTGCCAGGCTCTAGGGGCTGTGTGAAAGCCCCTTGACCTTGGGTTTCAGCTCTGCCTCTTGCTCCCAGCCCACTGAAGCTAGAGGCATCTCTTTACTCAGGCAGCTACTGGCTGCTGAGGCTAACAAGCTCACGGCAACAAATAAAATGGCACAGTCCCGATGTTACCAAACCACACGGCAGGCCATTAATTCAAGTCCATTGTAAGTCCCAAGGTTGGCAAAGCATAGTAGGCCGCTGAATAATGACAGGGCTACATGCAAGGTCTAAGTGTGCCGTAAGCTGGAGACCATTTCCAAAGCTGCTTCTTATATATGGGAAGCAGACCACATACCCAAAGCAGCTACGCAGCTGCTCCAATAGATCCCACCGGGGCATTAATTACCAATCTCACCATGGGGAATGACTACATCCAGCGGCCCAGCCAGTCCGCCAGGCCCAGCCAAGTTGACACACAGACTTAGTCACCACAGAGGACATAGTCTCTATGAATCTAAGTCTAATTAATGTATTAGGTACACCTTTACTATGTGTGGTGCAGTAAATTACTTGGTATGGCATTTCTAGTCTTTGTAACTCCCACTGGATTGCTGGGTGGGACCATGAAAATAAGGTGTGTAGAAGTCTGATACTGGGATTGGTTAGTTTTGTCACTCTGCTAGGCTTAAAATGAGCCTTCCTAGAGACAGAGAGGGGGATCTCACTGCTATCAAGAGAGAAGAGCTGGAGGTGAAGTAGAGTGTGTCCTTGGAGCCAAGACCCCTTCACTGGACCTTCTTGAGAGAGACACCCTGGCAGAGAGAGATGCCCTGGCAGAGAAACGGTCACAGTGGAACCAAGAAGCATAAGACAGAGTGGCAAGTTTACTTGGCTCACAGAGTGAGAAAGCTGAGTGCCCTTGGGCAGGAGCCTTTCTAATGAAGTGGGGTCCACCTATTGGCACCTATCGTTGGATGTACCTATCGGCAGAGCTGAAAGAGATTTATAACACTTACCAAAGCAGGGCAGAGGCTAGGCTGAGAGACCAAGGGCCAGAGAGGCATGTCTGAGGGCACAGGAGAGGGGAGACCGGTCTCATTGAAGAATTGTATCCTGAGCATGTTCCTGACCTGAATTGTACCCTATTACTTCCCTGATAAACCCCAATAGTCATGAGTATTGTCTATGAGTTTGGTGTGGCCACTGCAACAAATTATTGAACCCAGCAGAGAAGTAGTGAGTGCCATGGAAGGGAGGGTTGGTGCCAGAATTGGTAAAAGGCTGGAAGGTGGCGGCATGTCTGGCCTCATGAGAATAAACCTTGGGCTGTTGATAGTGATTCTGTCTTCCTCTTGTGAAGCTAGAGGAGGTCAGAAGATGCCACTTCCATGTACTTTTAGCACTATGGGAAGGAGCCTATAGGTGGTACAGTGGTTAAAGAGCTTGGCTTCTAAGGGAAAAAGATGTGGCAGTCTGCTTCTGTAAAGATTATAGTCTTGGAAACCCTATGGAGCAGTTTTGCTCTGTTTTATAGGGTTACTATGAGTTGGAATTGACTCAGAGGCACAGAACAACAACAAAATAACTATTGAATAAATTGAATTCATAATTTAAAAGCTACCCAAAAAGAAACTTCCAGGCCCAGATAATTTCACTGGAGACCTATACCAAACATTTTTAGAAGACTTAACGCCAATTTTACACAATCCCTTCCAGATAATTGAATGTGAGGGAATATTTCTCATGTTATTCTCTGAAACCAGTATTACCCTGGTTTTGGTATTAGAATCTACTAAAAAACACTCACTGAAGTAGTGAGTTAGCAAGGTTGCAGGATACATGATCAGCACACAAAAATCAATCATATTTCTATGTGCTCTAACAGTGAATATATGAAAATATAACTGTAATTGCTTTTTTAAAATATAAAATACTTAGGTATAACTTAGAAAAATATATACAGGATCTGTATTCTGAAAATTAGAAAATAGAGTAAATAAATACATTTTATAAAAAGATCTAGAGACATTCTATGTTCATGGATGGAAGATTCAATATGGTAAATGTCAGTTCTCCAAAAACTGATCTGTAGGTTTGTGGTGGTTAAGTTTGTGTGTCAATTTGGCTGGGCCTGGTTGAGTGACTGGGCAGCTGAATGT